GCTGCAGCACATGGTAAAGCGGGGGAAGTTTGCGCTGCAGTACATCCCGACCGCTGAGCAGCCGGCCGACTTCCTCACGAAGGCGCTGCACTATCCGGCCTTCAACCGGAGTGTCAACGGGAGTTGGGTGTTGGCCGCGTCCTCGCTTGGGCGGAGCCGACTTCCTGGTCGGGTGTAGGGGTGCAGCCGACCTGCAGTAGTGGGCGAGCCGGTCGACGGGGTTGGTCGACCTGCATGGGAGCCACTGCAAGGGCGCCGACTTCAGGAGGGCGCCAACTTCAAGTGGTCGACTTGAGAAGTCGACCTGCAGAGGGCGTCGACTTGGGGGGACGCCGACTTAGGTGGTCGACAAGGAGTGTCGTCGACCTGGAGTTGGTCGACCAGAGGGCGTGGTCGACTTGGTGAGGTCGACTGGAGGTGGCCGTCGACTTGGGAGGTCGACAGGCACGCACAGGAGCACCTGGTCGACGTGGTTGCCCGGTCGACCAGGTTACCTGGGTGACGAGGGTCTGCGAAGGCACGCGAAGGTCGCCCAGGCGAGGTTGGCAAGGACGACCTCGGTGGTGGTATCCCGAGGTCGACCTGGCAGATGAGATGCAGTCGTCAGCACAAGGTGGACTTGGTGCGTACGCTGTGCAGGTGACGAAGCAGTGCGCGCCAATCATCTACGAGCACCTGCGAAGCTGGTGCGATGCTGGACTGCAGGAGCAACGCTGGCACGCCGTCGACTTGCGCTGTTGTCACGCCGTCGAACTGCAGCGTTGGCAAGCCGCGTCCCTGCACTGCTGGAGCGCGGTCGACCAAGTCGTGCTGGCACGCGGTCGACCGTGCCGCGCTGGCAGTCGACCTGCTTGCATCCTAGCTCTGATGTAGTCTTTCCTAGCCAACTTCATTGTATCATTTTGTTGTCAACTTTCTCTAGTGAAACTCTTGCCAAATTGCCTTGTGAACTAGCAAGCAGTGTGTGCACTAGGAAAACGACTAAGGACCGAGGGACGCAGAGATCACACGAGCACCCGTGCCTAGCCCGCAGCCTAGCTCCCGTTACTAGAGTTATCTCCGCAATAGCGGCTCGGGGTCCTCGTCAATGAAGGACGGGAACCCACCCTGCCTGAACCCGCAGAGGAGGGTTCATGGCACCAGACGTGCTGTGCTGGCAGGGCATATTCCGCGCCCTTCGAGAGGGTTCGGATGAATGGTCCTGCCTGGCAGCGCATGACAACCCTATTGGGCCGCACGGCAGATTTTGCGTCAGCGCTGGCAGGTGCGTTGTTCAGGGACGTGAAGTGTGCGGTGGGAAATCGAATCGCAACAATTTTCGCCGGGATTCCATGCATGATCCCACGTGAACGGCACATTGTTGTGTTCGCCTTATTGCGGGCTTCATTTTGGTACCCTTACAAACAAATTTCATTTTTGACATTGTGAAGGCGCCGACGCTTACGGCCCTTATTCGATTACAAGCGCACCCAAAAAGATACGAGATTTTATTATAAGCGCATATGCGCTACTATCCGGGGCCAGACGGTGTTGCTTCAACCGATCAGGTTGCATCGCACCTAATGTAACCAGGTTTTTGTCAGAATGAGGAATGGATGATGCATTGATGTTGGTTGGGGTACATATAGCTAACCCTAAGTTTTGTACCCCCTAAGACAAACCTCACTATAGGCTACAACATTTGACACACCCCCATAGCCTAAGTGAGGGGTGTCTAGCAGAACCAAACGAGTACGGTCACAAGACCAGTCCAAGAAACGAAGCTCAGGGTGGATCACAACGTCACCACACAGTCTGAGCACAAACAACAGTGGCCACAAGGCCAGTCCAAGAAGTAACAGAGGTATATAGAAAGCAAAGTAAACAGTACACTCAAGCCTAAGCAACACGAGAACCAGTGTCAACAAGGCCTAACTGCACACAACACCTCTGGTGGTCACAAGGCAGAAGCGCCTTGGTGAAGATGTCTGCAGTGTTGGCCTCGGACTCCACAAACTCAAAGCGAGCCTGTCCACGCCTCTGCAACTCTCGCAGAAGAAAGTACCTGACGTGAATGTGCTTCACTCTGCTCTCCAGTCGTGGCTCTCGACAAAGGAGAATAGACGCCTTGTTGTCAGTGAACAAGGTCGGTGCAGAGCTCGGCCGCTCACCAAGGTCGGTGAGCAAGAAGGTCAACCAACGCAGCTCCTGTGCCGCCATGGCACCAGCGTAGATCTCAGCCTCAGCTGTAGAGGTCGAGACCGAAGAGGAGCGCGTGGACCGCCAGGAAACAGCTCCAGAACCCAGGCTGAAACAGTACCCCTGAGTAGACCTGTGAGTCTCAGCGTCGTCAGCGTAAGAGGAGTCACAGTGACCAGTAAGTACGACAGACTGCTGCCCTCCAAGAACTAGCCCCACGCCTGACGTCGTCGCTAGGTACTTCGCCACCCTCACAGCTGCTGTCCAGTGAACAGGACGGTGTCTCCCTGGCGCAACAAAGCGCGCAAGAACGCTGAGAGGGAAGGCGAGGTCCGGGCGAGTACAAGTCATCAGGTACATGAGGCAACCCACAAGCTCTGCGTAGGGACCACTAGGCTCGAACGGCTCGTCAGGAAAGGGTCCAGTGAGTCTGTGGTCAACAGCAAGAGGTGTGCGCTGTACTGTGGAGTGCTGAAGCCCGAACCGCTGAAGGACCTGCTGCACCATGTGCGACTGTGAAAGTGTAATGGTGCGAGCAGCTCTGTCCCTGGTGATCTGCAGGCCAAGGTAGTGGCGCAGCTCACCAAGATCAGTGCAGGTGTGTCTCTTCTGCAGTTCGGACTTCACGTGTGCCAAAGCAACCCTGTCAGGGGTGGCGAAAACAAGGTCGTCAACGTAGACCAGAACAAAGAAAGGTGTGGGGCCACGACGAACGAACAGCGACGGGTCAGCAGAAGACGGCTGGAACCCAAGGTCAGACAGGGTAGAACGCAGGGTGTCGTGCCACTCACGAGGAGCCTGACGAAGACCGTAAACCGGTCGCCTCAGCCTCCACTGGGTCCCAGGAGGGAAAGAGCCAGTGAAGGCAGAGGGACGACGCAAGGCTCGGGGGGGCTCGGGGAGGTCACCAGTAGCGTGCGACCAGAGGGTCTCGCCCCCCTGGACTTGACTCTCTAACAGACGGCGAGCGCGAAGGAGCCAGACGGAAAAGTCAAGAGGTCTGCCGTCAGCGTCGAAACGAAGAACTCGCGGAGTCGCCATAGCGAAAACTAACGCGAACGAGCAGGCGAGTAACAGCAGGAGGTAAGAGGCAAATTAGGGTTCAGGTGGGACTTAGTCGCAGCGGAAGAGCGGGCTAGAGCGACGGGCCAGGGCGTAGGGTCGACGGGACGGGGGAAAGGGCGGGCACGATGCGACGGGGCAGGGCGACGCGACGGGGGAGGGCGACGCGACGGGGTAGGGAGACGGGACGGGGCGACGGGACGGGGCAGGGCGACGGGACGGGACGGGGACGGGACGGGGCAGGGGCGACGGGACGGGACGGGGCGACGGGACGGGACGGGGCAGGGCCGCGGGACGGGACGGGACGGGACGGGACGGGGCAGGGCGACGGGACGGGACGGGGACGGGACGGGGCAGGGGCGACGGGACGGGACGGGCCGACGGGACGGGACGGGGCAGGGCGACGGGACGGGGCAGGGGCAACGGGACGGGGCAGGGCGACGTGACGGGGGGAAAGGGCGCGACGCGACGGTGGGAAAGGGCGCGACGCGACGGGGGGAAAGAGCGCGACGCGACGGGGGGAAAGGGCGCGACTCGACGGGGGGGAACGGGCGCGACGCAACGGGGGAAAAGGGCGCGACGTGACGGGGGGGAAAGGGCGCTAGGCGACGGGGGGAAGGGCGCTAGGCTCGGCACTAGGCGCGGTAACAACGGAACCGGTACGAACGAGAGGTAGGATCAGGCTCGGGAGATACGAACGGAGAACGGAGGAACGGGATCCCACAGGATCCTAACCTAACTGATACTATGTCAGAATGAGGAATGGATGATGCATTGATGTTGGTTGGGGTACATATAGCTAACCCTAAGTTTTGTACCCCCTAAGACAAACCTCACTATAGGCTACAACATTTGACAGTTTTCGCCGATATACAACACTGAAAAACGTAAGTGGGCAAGATTGCTATCAAAGCCGATGCTCCAGATCCAATTTATAGCACCTCATTTAGAGCGAAACGCTATCAATGTTTGAAGCGGCTCGGCCAAAATCCGTCTAAGAGCACTCTAGGAAAACATTTGAGCCTATTGTGACTATAATAGTTTGCCTAGCTTTAATGCCTCAGCCTCAGGGTGAAAATGCACAAGAGCTCAGTATCAGGCAAGTCTCCCAAAACGTCTGACATATCAGACTTACAAACTAGTACCGTCAGCTGCCCACGGGAACAAGAATCTAAACCAAACCCGATCGGGATGGCATGGCGTGGGAAACCTCAGGCTGAAACACCTTGCTGCATGGTGTTTAGTAGGGTTGATACGGTACCGTCCGCATGGGTTTTACTTTAGTTTCTGCCCACGGTCAGATGTCGAACGGTGTCGGCCTGTCGGTGTCAGTTTGCTGGCTCGGCTGCCCGATCTGGGGAGTCCCACGAGACCTTAACAGCATGCTATCAGCCCTGAAGTGCGTGCGTAACTAAGATTGACGTGGTCCATACCCGGGATTGTCTACCGGTACCTCTTACGGTATACGGTATGTAAAACAAACTATTGGACACGCGCGATTATTGCCAATCATTCAGCCCCGACTGTGCAAGCGTTGTTGATGGCCGCGACTTGTGAAGGGCTGCCGCCATGTGCCATCATGTGGCACTGATACCAGTCAGTGGATGCCACAAAATCTGACAACCCACCCTGGGTTCCATGCACATGAAGCCTACGGTATATCCTGTTTTACTTCCTCACCACACCATCCTCCAGCCACACCGGCTCAGCTGCTCTCCTCTCACCCAAGCGCTCAGCTGCAGGCGCACCAAACTGGCATGTCAACTGCCGACTGTGCTGTGCCTCTCACCCTCCTCCGTGCCACCCATGCCCGCTCTTGTCCCAACCTCCCCTGAATGGGCCTGCCCCTGCACCACCGCTGCGGGAGCTTCCTTCCACCCCTGTGCTCCACAGCCCCCCCACCGCTCACGCGAAAGGGCCTCGGGGGCAGGCAGGGGTGGCAACAGCCCCGCCACCATCACAGCTGCCCCACCCTTCTCACCGCCCTCGCCCTGCCCCGCATGGCCAGCCGCCCTCACACCTGCTGACCCTGAACCATCCTCGCAAGCCGCCTCAACTCCTTCGCCTGGCAAGCTCCCGCGTTCACACTCTGCCACATCACCCGCCCCGCCATGCCCGCACCACACAGGGTCTTCCTGCAGCGCACACTGCTCTCCCTGCCTTGCACACCTCATCCACACCTCCTCTCCCCACATGCCCTGCTGCTGCACACTCCACCCCACTGCTCACTGCCCCCTCTATACCACCCTCGCCTCCTTCACACCCGTCTGCTGCGCCCCTCTCCCCCACCCCAGTGTAACATGTGGCAGCCGCCCTGTCCTCCCCCACCTGCTGCCGGCGCGTGTGTGAGCCTCCCTCCACATGCATCACACTCGCACTCTCCTCCAACCCACTGCCTCTCCCCTCACCCCCCTCGACTGTTTTGTGCACACCCAGCTTCCCCCCACATCGCACCTCCCTGAGTCTTTGCCTGCCTCGCCCCTCCCCGCTACTCTCATCTCCACCTGATTCACTTGCTGCCTGCACCGCCTCTCCTCCACATGCACTGCCCCACTGCCCTCCACCCCACTGCTCCCCGTCCACTTGCACGCCCACCGCATCAGCGTTCTCCTGGCAGCTGCCGCCACCAGCCATGTGCTCATGTGCACCCATGCTGCCATGCCCCTCCACCGCCCCATCCGCCTCAACTGCTGCAGACAGCGCCAAGCCCATTACTTCCCTGCTGCACTCCTCACTCTCCTTCGCCCTTTCCCCCATGCTCCACACATCACCACACCCCTGCCCACCCCCCCCCTCGCCCTCATGAGAGAGCGGTAGAGCAGGGATGGGGGCGAGTGTAGCAGGGGGGGTTGGAGGGAGTGGAGCATGCACGAGGAGGGCACGAGGGGCGCTGGGCGAGGGCTGGCAGGGCGAGGGCTGTCATCACTGCCACAGAGGGGCTCTGAGATGGTGACCTCAGCATGCGGGAGAGTGATGTCAGCAGGCTCATGCGTGACAGAGGCAGCGCGCAGAGGGAAGTGCGGCGAGGGCAGCAGGCTGAAGCCGCACCCCTCCTCGCCCAGCGTGACATCAGCGCGGCGCAGAGTGACGTCAGCGCGGCGGTACGTGACGGCTGCTCGCTTGGCCACTGAGGAGGGCGACGGGAACGACGGCCTCAGCGCCACTGGGCTGCTGCCCGCCCGCTGCTGCTGCTGTGGTGAGGGGGAGAGCTGAGGAGACGATGTGGGAGGAAGGAGAGGGGGACTTGCCTTCTGTGGATGGGGGCCGGTTGGCGGCACAGGCAGCAGCATGGGAGGCGGGGTGGCAGGCGTGGCAGGGGGAGCAGAATGAGCGACACATGGAGGAGGCGGCAGGGAGGCAGGCCCACCTGACTCGCTGCACCCATCGCCACCCATGCGTGCCGCTGCATGCCCCCCTGCACAGCCTGCCCCAGCACAACGCAGCCCACTGCCACATGGCCCCACTGCATCGCCCCCGCTGCCATGCTGTCGCCCACCATCCACCAACTCTGCACTCCCCTCTCCACCATCGCCAGCACCTGCCCCACCACCCCTCTCACCACACTCCCCGTCCTCCCCACCCTCTTCACCCTCCCCACCTGCTTCACCTTCCCCACCCGCTTTTCCCTCCCCACCCGCTTTACCCTCCCCACCCGCTTTACCCTCCCCACCCGCTTTTCCCTCCCCACCCGCTTTACCCTCCCCACCCGCTTTACCCTCCCCATGGCAGTGATGGCCGTCCAGGCATTCACCGGGAGCTGCACTGACAGCGCGTGGAGGAACAGCAGCAGCAGGAGAGGCAGCTCGGATGGGAGCAGCATCGGGAGCTGAAGTAGCCGCATCAGAAGCACAAGTGCCAACATCAGGAGCACAAGTAGCAGCATCAGCAACAGCAGCAGCAGCAGCAGCAGGAGCAGGAGCAGCAGCAGCAGGAGCAGCAGGAGCAGCAGCAGCAGCAGAAGCAGCAGCAGGAGCAGCCGCAGGAGCAGCAGGAGCAGAAGCAGGAGGTGATAGGGACGGTCCAGCACATGCAGTGACGGCTGGCAGGGCGGCTGGTGGATGAGTGGCATCAAGGAGGTGGTGGGGAGGAACAGGGGGCATGGCAGGGGGCATGGCAGGGGCCATGGGAGAGGGTATGGCGGAGGGCAGGGCTAGAGCGGCACGGAGGAGAGCCATGTGATGGCAGGCGCGCTCCAGCGCCGCATCAGCCACCTGCTGCAGCTCGCTCGCCCTCGCCCTCGCTGCACCCGCCCTCGCCCTTGCACTCCTTGCCCTCGCCCTTGCCGCCACCACCTCCGCCTCCACCCCTTGCGCCTCCACCCCTTGCGCCTCCACCCCTTGCGCCTCCACCCCTTGCCGCTGCGCCTCTCTATTTGATGGTCCACATGCTGGGTCCTGTGCTGCAGACGGGCGCACGGCTGGAGGGCGAGCGGAACGAGGCGAGGGCAAGTGGGGCTCAAGGAGGAGCGGCGAGGCTGTGAGGGGCACGGGCAGGAGCAGGCGGGCAGGGGACACACCGCCCATGCTGGGCCTGCCAAGGCGCCAGGCAGCAGCGCTGCCCGCCTGCCCCCCACTGCCTGCTGCTCGCCACGACCGCTGTCGCTTGCGCTGGTACACCACCGGGCCCTTGCCCGCCCCTCCACCCGCCCCATCCTCCGCTCCTCCACTCATCACAGCATCGCCACCCCTCTCTGCTCCCGCCTCTCTCCCAACCTTGCTGCCCCACTCATCTTCAGCACCCGTCCCAGCATATCCCAGCTCCTGTGCACCCACTGCACCCGCCTCGCGCCCACCATCTGCTCCACGCATCGCAGGCGCCGCTAGTCTGCTCACCCGGGGCAACCTGTGACCCACCACCCGCCTGCCCCCCCTGCTGCTGCCTGCGAGCGCCTGTGCCTCGTGACCCACTGCCTGCACCTCTGCGCCACTCAAAGAGCTGTCTCCGCGACCTTGTGTACGACCTGCCTTGCCTGCCCCCTCCTCCACCTGCCCTGCCCACCCCACATGCTGCTGTGTCTGCTGCAGCACCAACACCGCCCGCGCCCTGCGCCTTCCCCTCCCCCCTGCGCCTGCAATCCCCTGCGCCCTACCTCCCACACTCAGCGCCAGAGGCCTCCCCTCCGTCCCACACTGCGCCCACTGCCCAAGCGCCGCCGCAGCAGCCGCATGTGCCTGCACGGTTGCACTGGCTGGTGGGCGCGCGTGTGCCAGCGACAGCAGCTCTGACCGCACGCCCGCCATTCCTCTCTTCTGCTGCGCCTCATCCTCGCCGCAAGTGCTGCCGCCTCCGCTGCCGCCTCTCGCATGCTCCCACGGCTGTCCGGCCCCTGTATCCCCCACAGCTGCGTGTGGAGGAGGGCCGCTCTGGGCGCGAGCAGCAGTGGCGACGCCACGCAGCCCTGCAGCCACCACGGGAACGCCGCGCGGTTGGTGCTGCGCTGCGGAGGCAGCGGGCAGCGCAAGGGGCCCTGCAGCAGCGCCGTGCAGTGGCGTGCGCGCTGCTGCTTCATCCCCGCCTGCCCCGCTCAACCCCGCGCTGCCCGTCAGCTGCACGCCCCACGCTGCCCGCCCCCTTGCGTGCCTCGCCTGCTGCTGCCTCAGCAACTGCCTCATCCCCCCCTCGCCCCCACCGTACACCTGCTGCTGCGCCGACGGCAGTGCCTGTGGAGTGGCATCCAGGTGTGCAGGCTCCAGGGGGGTGTTGAGGCGCGGGCTCAGGCGAAAGGCGAAGGGGAGGGGCGACCGCGGCGAGGTGGTGGTGAGGCGAGGCCATGCAGTGGGCGAGGGGCGCGCAGACGAGGGGTGCGCGCGAGATAGGTCTCCATGCGGCGCACTCACCCCCTCATGGCCTGCGCCAGGGAAAGACTCTGCTGCTCCCCCTGCTGCCCTGCCTGCTGCCCCGCCTGCTGAGCCGCCTGCTGAGCCGCCCTTGCTGCTGCCCTCCGCCTCCTCACCTCCCAGGTCTGCAGTGGGGGCACAGCCGAGCGAGCAAGGGTTTGGCAGGAGGGAGGTGCGGGGAATTGAGGCGGTGCATTGAGTGGGGAGAAGGCGTGGGGCAGGGCGGAAGGGCGAGGGGGAGGGTTCGGGCCCAGCTCACCTGCGAGGCACACCACGCGTCGCTGCCTTTTGGCCGCCACCAACCCCTCCGCGCCCTCTCGCCGCCCACACTGCTGCGCCTCGCCCACGGGGAGCGCCTCTGCGCGCGTCGCCACGCCCACCACCCGCGGGCTGCCCTCCGCACTCTCCGCAGCAGCGCCGCCCCATGCGCCTGCCACGTGCTCCGCGGAGGCCGGCGCGCGCTTGGTGGAGCGCGGGCGCGAGGGGAAGGGGGCCCTGCGCGCGTGGGCGCGCGGCTGCAGGCAGAAGGCAAAGAGAGGCGGGCGGGGGATGGCGGGCACGCGCTGCTGCGCTGCACTGCCAGGGCCGGGGGTGATGGGGGTGATGGGCGTGCCAAAGGGAATGGGTGAGGGGAAAGGAGAGGAGGCGGCCGGGCTTCTTGGAAGGCGAGCAGGAGTGGATAAACCTGCTGCTGCCTCGGCACCTGGTGCTGCCGTGCTGGGTACGTGCTGGCCGTGGGAATCCCGCTGCTCGTGTGTGACTGCTGCACCAGGTGATACCTGCCCCTGCTGCCCTGCTACCGCACGCCCCGCTCCTCCCTCATGCTGCTGCTCCCCTCCCTCCGCTTGCTGCTGCTGCGAGTGGTCGTTTGGTGTGCTCTGCAGCGCGACACCACTCTCCCCCTGCCTCACCATGCCACCCATCCCCGCTCCCTCGCCCGCCCTCTGCTCCGCTGCTGCCTCCGCACCTCCTGCCGGCTGCCCCGGGGCCCACGGCGAGGGAGACGGAGCGAGGGGCGTGGCCTCGCGGGCTTGCAGCAGCTGCAGCTGCCGCTGCCACTCCTTCACCTGCGCCTGATACACCTCCCATGGCGCGCGCTGCAGCGGCGGGGCGTCACGTGACACGAGGGAGGAAGAGGGGGGCCGGACAGGGAGGGTGGGGCACAAGTGGAATGAGAACGCAAGCTCGTGGGTGCATGCAAGAGAAAAAAAAAAAAAAAAGGCTCCTGGCCGACTAGACAGATAGGCAGCAAGAGGAACGAGCCTGCACAGGGCAAGCCGCAGGCAGAAATGAGGGGCGCGGGCAGACATGAGGGGCGCGGGCAGACATGAGGGGCGCGGACTGCGTGCTGCAGGGCGGCGGGCGGAGGGCAGCGGGCTGACCTGGAAGTGGCGGCAGAGGGCGGTGCCCTTGCGGGCGCGCTTGGCGCGCCAGTGGTGGAAGACGGCGCGCACGGCGCCTGGCGGCGCCAGGTGCGCGCAGCAGCGCAGGGCGTGCGCCTCGGAGAGCAGCGAGCGCGCAGCGAAGGCCTCCTTCTCCAGCCGGTCCATCACCCTCTCCACCTGCCCCTCGCTCACCGCCACCTGCCCCTCGCTCATCGCCAACGCTCCTCCCGCCACTCTCCCATCACTCCCTCTGCCCTCACACGCGCCACTCTCAACCCTTTGACCCGCCGTCTCTGCCCCTGCCTGCCCATTCCCCCCTGCCTGCCCCTCCCCCCCTGCCTGCCCCTCCAACCCTGCACAGCGGAGGGTGCGGGGGAGCGCGGAGAGGAAGCGCTCGTCGTCGGAGTCGAGGTCGTACACCACGTGGTGGCTGCCCGGGCGCACGCGCTCCGCCTCGTCCACGCCGCGGATGTACCCCGCCGGGGGGGCGAACGCCTCGCGCCCCTCACCCGCCTCCGCACCGTCCACAGGCCCTGCCACGCTGTCGCTGCTGGCGCTGCTGCTGGCCGCGCACGCGGAGGAGCCGCGCAGGCGCCAGCGCCAGGGCACGACGCGCACGCCGGGGATGGGGATGCGACGCGCTGACACACCGCGGCTGTTGCGCTGGGCGCATGAGTCGTGCAACTGCTGGAACCTTCGCCACTCCTTCCTCTCCGCGAACTCCAGCGCCCACGAGGCCGCGTTGCTGCCCGCGTCGGCGTCGGGGGGCCGCCACATGATGGCGCCTGTCACCCGGTTGCTGCTGCCCGTCGCCCCCGCCTGCTCCGGGCGGTACGAGAAGCGCGCGTGGCCGCGCAGCAGCACGGCGAGCACGTGCACGCTCGCCCCGCCCTCCTCGTCGCCCACCACCCGCGCCTCCACGGCGGCCCCGCCCTCGCGCCACCCGCGGTCGCCCTGCACCACCAGCACGCTCGCCGCGCACACGCCACACGGGCTGCCCGACCGGTCCGACGTACACGTGGCAGCGTCGCACTCGTCACCCAGCCACAGCCCCGGCGGCTCGTCCACAAGGTGGCGGCGCTTCTTGCCCGCGGACGGGCCCGCCTTGTCTGGCGCGGGGGCACCGTTCGCCCCAACGGCCAGTGGCGACCGCCACCCGCGCTTGCCCTTGCCCTTGCCCTTGCCCTTACCCTTCCCTCGCCCCTTCCCTCTGCCCAACCCTTGACCTTGCTGCCGCTGCTGCTGCTGCTGTTGCTGCTGCTGCTGCTCCTGCTCCTGCTCCTCCTCATCATCATACTCTTCCTGCTGCTGCTGCCCCTGCCCCTGCCCCTGCCCCTGCTGTTGTTGATGTTGTTGTTGCTGCTGCTCTTGCCCCTGCTTCTGTTCTTGTTGCTGTTGCTGATCCTGCTGCTGCTCCTGCTGCTGCTGTTGCTGTTGCTGTTGCTGTTGCTGCAGCTGCTGCTGCTGCTGCTGTTGCTCCTCCTGTCTCTGTTCCTGCTGCTGCTGCTGCTGCTGCTGTTCCTGCGGCTGCTGCGGCGGCTCCTGTTGATGCTGCTGCGGGCGCTGTGCCACCTGCTGCCCGTGTACCTGCTGCTCGTGTACCTGCTGCTCGTGTACCTGCTGCGGCTGATGTGCCTGCTGCAGCCACTTTAGCTGCTGCTGCTGAAGCGCCTGAAGCAGCTGTTGATCAGATGGGAGCCAATGCGGTGGTGCAAAGGGCAAAACCGTTGAGTGCGCTCCGCCGTGCGATGTGGGCTCGCACCCGCCGACGGCGCCGCTCTGCACGCGGGGCTGCGACGGCGCGGACACGACGACAGACGGACGAGGAAGAGCCGCTGATCGGGGCACCAGCGGCTGCTCGTTCTGTGCGGCGGGCAGCGGTTGAATTGCTTGCTGCTGCCGCAGCATGGGGGATGGCGGGAGCAGTAGAGGGGAGGGCGACTGACGGCCGGAGGGAAGAAAAAGAGTGGTTTTCCCATCCAGCAACGGCCCCTCCGCTGCCAACCCTGCCCCCTGCCTCGCGGCCGAAGGAATCGCTTTCGCCACAAGCGAGGGCTTCAGCCCCGAGGGCCCGCAGGGATCTAATCGACTGCTGTCAGCCGTCCCTGTGACGCCTGCCTGAGTCGTCTGAGTCGCGTGCATCGACTGAGACGCGTTAGTCGTTTGATTCGTCTGCGTAATATGAGTCGTGTGAGTCGTCTGAGACGCTTGAGTCGCTGAACGAGGGTGGCACGGCCAAGCGTGGTTAACAGTCAAACGACCGTTGGCCAGCCCCGACGCCAATAGCTGATGCGATAGCAGCGCCAGCTGCTGCCGACGCGCTAGATCCGCTCCCGATACTAACTGCTGCGACACGAGCGGTGAGGCCACAGGGGTTAGCTGGGCCACTACAGGGTCGGACCGTAAAGCTGATGCTTGCTGAGGGGCGTGTGGTTGGGAGGGAGACATTTGCGGGTCGGCTCGTAAATGCCCGTTCTGATCTGATAGCCCCGACGAGCCTTGCTGCGAGACAAGCGGCTGCGACTGCTGGCGTGGAGGGTGAAGATGAGCCTTCCGCCGCTGATGCTCGTGCGACGGCGATGGCAACGCTCGATCCACCTCTACTCTTGGCTGCACCGCTCCGAACTGGCTCATACCTTCGGAATGACCTCGCTCTCCGTTTTCCTGTTCCACAAGCGAAAGCGCTGCATTTTCCTGAGGTGGGCGAAACGGAAACATACCAATCAGAGCGGCAGCAGCCCTCCCGTCCACGCTCAGCATTTCAGCAGCATTGAGGTGGAAAACGCATGACTGCGCGCGTCAGGTGGATGATCACGGTGCCTGCATTTGAGCAATGAATGAAGGCATCTGTAATTGCCTCAGCAAACCTCCTCCCAAACTTCAAATCAATTCCGCGTTACGCAATTTCCAAGGCCAGCGAAAGTAAGGCAGATCTTGATTTTCCTAGGCAGGCAGGAAGTTTGAAACCCTCGTTCCGCTTTCACCTCCATCTCATCCTCCTGTCTTCCCCGTCGTCCTCTTCCAACTTTCCGCCTCCCGCCCTCAAGTTACCGCCTTCTCCCTTCTCCCTTTCCTCTCCTGCCTTCGAATGTCCGCGAATGCCCGAAAACCCGCTTCGTTAGTGCTTGGTTGCCCTCTGGCGGTACGCATGAATCGCGGAGTCCAACTTGGAAAGTCTGGCGGATTCGTTTCTAAACTAAAGCTACAGTTCCGAACCGAATATAACCATCAGGTCAATCCCCAGTTAAGACCGTTGATGTCTGTTTGCGCTGTATAGTGTAATCTTACACCAGAAAAATAATACCTTATGTTTGTTTCCAGGTCAAGTCCGAAAGCTTTATTTACTGTCCGTATGTAACGAAAAAAAAAAAAAAAAATCACACACACATACACACACACACACACACACATTTTCCTTACTTGGCGCCCCTGCTTACCGTGTACACGACTGTTCCCGCCACAGTACCCCAACAATAAACTCGCCTCGACCACTATTCCCATCGCGACCCAACCTCACAGCTCGGTTCGTAACCCGAGCTCCAATCCTCCACCATGGCAATTCCCAACTTCGGCGCCAGGCCCATTGCGTGTGAGAATCGAGGAATGAAATTGACTAAGGAAATTGGGGTACAAGTACAAAACCTAACAAGTGTTGTACCCCCTAAGGCTAAACCCACTGTAGCCTACAGAATACAAACACATATAATGTTTGACACACCCCCATAGGCAAAGTGGGGGACAACAAGGGGTCACAAGACCAGTCAAGCAAAGCAAGCTCAAGGTGGATCACAACGTCACCACACACACTGAGCACAAGCAAAGGGCCACAAGGCCAGTTCACATGCAAAGATATATACGTAGCAATAACATACCTAGCAAGAGCCAGCATGCAGGTATATATATAGATCACAGTACAAGCAGAGACTACAGCAAGTGTGGAAACGTAGGCACAAGGCCTAACAAAGTACAAAAGCGCTGATGATCACCAGACGGAAGTGCCTTGGTGAAGATATCAGCAGTGTTGGCCCGAGTGGCCACGTGACGAAGACAAAGCTGGCCACGCTGCTGCAACTCTCGAGCGAGGAAGTAACGCAGAGCGATGTGCTTCGTTCTGTGCTCCAGTCTGTGCTCCTCACACAAGGCAATGGCAGCCTTGTTGTCGACATACAGAACTGGAGGAGAACTAGGCCGCTCTCCCAGGTCGGTCAGCAGGTAAGTGAGCCAGCGTAACTCCTGAGCAGCCATGGCAGTGGCGTAGATCTCAGCCAGGAAGAGGGGAGGGGGGGGGACCGGGAGACCTCGACAGGGGTACCGGACGTAGTAGGGGACAGACTCGTCGAAACGGACGTCACGAGAGTCAAAGAACCGGTGGGAGGGAGGGTGGTAAAAGGTGAAGTCAGAGGAGCCCTCTGGGAAACCAAGGAAGACACAGGGGACGGCGCGAGGCGAGATCTTGTCCGCAGAGGTGTCGCGGACAAGAGCCAAGCAGCCCCAGACACTAAACCTCGACGCAACACCAGGGGACCCTGTCCAAAGACTGGTCGGCGATGCCCCTGGCCGAGAGACGCGAGGCCAGAGGTTCAGCTGGTGAGCGGCGTACCGAGCCGCGTAGGGCCACAGAAAATGGGGCGCGCGGGCGTGGATCATGGAGGTGCGGGCGATCTCCATGACCAGGCCCAAACGGCGCTCAGCAACCCCATTCTGCTGTGGAGAGTCTGGAAGAGTCCAGGACTGGGTGATGCCCTGCTCAGCACAGAATCTGGCGAGAACGCCGGAGCGAAACTCACCCCCACGGTCGGAGTGGAGACAACTGACACGACGACGGCGAGTACTCTCGGTGGCGAGCAGCCACCGGATCAGCGTAGAAGTCACGTCGGACTTCTTCGCCAAAGGGAACACGGTGGTGTACCGAGAGTAATCGTCAACGACCACCAGAAAGAAACTCTCCCGCTCAGGGCCAAGACGGCGAGCGGGGCCCCAGACGTCTAAGTGGAGTGTCTCGAAGGGCTCGGTGGCCGGACGAAGGGAGGAGGAGTGAGGGGTGGCGCGCAGCCGACCCTGGACACAAGGACCGCACGGAGGAGCCGGGGACGGTGGGAGCGACGGGAGGACGCGAGGGAGGCCTAAGACAAGACGCTGACTGGACATAGCGCGGAGACGAGGGAGGGACGGGTGCCCCATCCGGTGGTGCCACAGAACGGTGGGGTGAGCAAGCGACCGGCAGGAGCAGGACGCGGCAACTGGACCTGACGCGGGGACGTGACCAGACGCAGCAACTAGACCGGACACAGCAACCTGACTGGACCTGGCCACCTGGTGGGAGGGGGGAACCTGACGGGGGGCGATGTGGAGGGTGTACAGACCGGAGCCCGGCTCCTGGCGAAAAGTGGCCAAGGGGGCGTACGTGTCACCGTCCACACAGACTGCAGTGTCACCAGAAGGCTCAACCCAGACCCCGACGTGCTGTCTCGCCAGGGAGCCGACACCAACCAGGTTCCTAGAGAACGTAGGAACGTGGAGGCCAGTCAGGGAACCGGAAGGGGCAGCTGGGCACGGGAGTGTAGTGGCGTGAGTCGCAATGACCGGTCCCGAAGTGGGATCGGCCAGTGCTACAGGGACAGGCGCCGGTAGCGGAGAGAGAGTCGTGCAGTCGCGGAAGAAGCAGTGCGACGCTCCTGAGTCCAGTGTGAAGGAGAGAGACGCGTCCGCCGAGGGAGTACCTGTACTAGTAGCTAAACAAGATCCTACACTAGCACCTACTCTAGCAACAGGCAAAGATCCTAAGCTAGGTACAGGCAAGTACACAGATCCAGGAGCACTATAGTCAACATCAGCATACATGGCATAAGACCTAGCATCATCCATAGTCATATCAAAAACAGCAATACCACGAGCAAGAAGCGTCCCCCAGCGTGGCGGCGGGGGAGCGGAGGGGCCGTGGTGCAAGAGGTAGAGGTCGTCGAGACGACTGAAGCAGCGTGCAGCAGAGTGGTCAGGGCGGCCGCAGTACGTGCCCCTGCGCGGACCCGTAAGGATCCAGTACTCACAGGGACCAACGTCGCGGCCGGCCGAGCGGGGTCCCCGACTAGAAGGGGCACCACTGCGCCCAGTGCTCGGGGGGCCCGTAGGCCTCCACTGCTGCGGGGGGCCCCACTGCTGCGAAGGGCCCCACTGCTGCTGAGTGCCCCACTGCTGCTGAGTGCTCCACTGCTGAGGCTGATGCTGAGGCGGACGCTGCTGCTGGCCCTGGCGCTGCTGCTGCTGTCCCTGCCGCTGCTGCTGTCCCTGCCGCTGCTGCTGTCCAGGCGGTGGCAGCTGCGGAGGAGTCTGCTGCTGCTGCTGCGGAAACCCCTCACCACCGTCCAGAGGAGAGCCGTCAGGTCCCGGGTCACCCCCGCCACCACCCCCGCCACTAGCACCACCGCCACTGCCACTACCCGCACCACCCCTAGAACCCCCGCCGCCCTTCCCTCCCTTCTTGCCGGACTTGCCACGTTTCTGTCCGCCAGAGACAGAAACAGCCGCCGTCTCCTCAGAGGCAGAAGACGCGGCAGTGGCAAGCGAGGCAGTGAAGGTGGGAAGCTGTGGTACCCCCCCCTGTCCCCGCTCCGTCTGGTCTGTCTCACGCTACTCCCCCCCCCTCGGTACCCCCCCAGGTCTCTCCTCCTTCCCCACAGTCGTCCTCACAGCCTCCGCAGCAGTCGTCCGCGCTTCCTTTACCGGCCACTGCGGACTCTGAGGGTGTTGGTGCTCGAGGTGAGGGCTCTGGCGGTGCTCGCTCTGGGGGTGCTGGCGTTGGAGCGGTTCGTGCACCTGCCGCAGCTGCCCGTTCTGAGGGTGTTGGAGCTGGTGGTGTTACTGGAGCTGGCGGATCTGGGGCTGGTACTGGTGTCACTGGAGGCCCCACGACTGGGGGTGCGGGTGCGCCTCCTTCTGGTGCTGGTCGTGCTGCCGCGGGAGGTACTCGCTCTGGGGGTGCTCCGCCGGGTCCTGCTGCGGACGGAGCCGGTTCTTCTGCTGCGTCTCCTGACACCACTCCTCCTCCTCACCCCTACCTGACTCGACACCAGGCCCGTCTTCGTCTTGAGCGTGAGGAGCAGCAGCGTTTGGAGCGTGAGAGGTTGGAGGTTCAGCAGCGGGTG